CCTTTGCCGCCTCGCCTCCCCTCCCCCGGCTTCGCCTCCCCTGTGTGTCAGATATCAGCGGCAAAATGAACGGGGGGGGAGGAGGAGGGGGCGAGACGAGAGCCGCTTGCTTGCGAGGCAGCCGACGGAGTGCAGTGGAATGCAGTCAGCTCAGTGGGGCTTACTCCTTTGTTAGCGTGTTTCGTGTTAAAAAGACCAAAATAAAAGCTAGCGCCTGTTTGCACAAGCGCATAACTAAAACCGGAAACACACACACACAAAAAACAACCAGGGGGGAGGGTTGCACGGTCACGGCGGATTGCTGTCCAGATACCTAAACCGCGGATACAAAGCGCTAAATATCGGAAAACACCTGTTCCAACAGGTATCAAAAAAACGCGGATAAAAGAGCGGAAACCGCGGGACTCTGCCGGCTTCTGTGCGGGAGGCGGGTTTGCCTATGTAGACAGGAAACTTTAATGCGGGAGGGATCAGCAGCGAATCCCGCACTAAACGTCCGTGTGACCAGACCCTGTGTGTTCATTGACTGTTCTTGTTACTTCAAATAAAGCTGATTCACTGTTTGACTAAAGACACGGCGTTGAGTTCCATATCTAACAGTATTAACCTCTTCTCTGCCTCATCCCATGTAGGTGTGCTCTGGTCCAAACGTATTTGGACCTTTTCCACACACAGTGACACTTTCCTGTGGGAGCACTGAGGGTCACTGCAGCTGCCAACGTAGCCCCATGGCAACAGGGCTTCCAGAGGACAGGCCTTCCTGCCCTGGTCCCTGGCTACTCCTGCCACCAGAGAGATTTTTCCTAGGTTTTTAAAAAATAAACTGGTATTGATATGGCATTATATTGCTGTGTTAATTACTGAATTAAAAACAGCTCAAAATGTCCTCTGAAGGCTTCAGGGGAGGAATGGCTGCCGCAGATACTATGCAAGCCAAAATGGCTGCCTTGTGGGCAGATCTAGACTTTCCTCCTCACAGGTTAGCCAGCCTGGTTTTGCTGCAATCTTTCCCAAAACATCACAGAAAAGCAGGTTTGGGAAAGACTGGAGAAAAGATGAGAAAAACCCAGGTGGTATATGGAAGCACCACAATGCTGTAGGGAAGTGGAGGGAAAAACCAATTTTCCAATATCACCTGAGCCAGACTAAATAATGCATGTATAAGTGACCTTATTTTAAGGCGTTCTTAGGCTGCCTCTCGGACATCAAGCTTCTGATGTTCTAACCCTAAGCAGAGCTGTACCCTTCTAAGTCCATTGAAGTCAGTGGGCCTAGGAGGTTATAACTCTGCTTACGATTGCATTGTAAAATAATAAAACTTATTTTTGTACTATACTATACTATAGCCAGCAGCTGTAAAACATCTGTACTTCCAGCCTGAGTAGGCATTTGAACTTTAGTCTACTCAGCCACCGTCTAGCACTCTGGTTACACTGACCTTCCTTTTGCAGTGCTGAGCCCAGAGCCCATCATGTTCAAATCCTGTCATAAATCGTTGTAGTACTACAACAGGAAGAACCATTTCCCTCTCTCCTCCTCCTCCTCTGCAATTGTGTCAACCTCTGTCATGATTTATGTTTGGCCCGGGTCAAGCATTGGGTCTTTCCTGACTCCTGCATAGTGAAAATACAGACTGTAAACTCTGTGGGGGCTGTCCCTTATTCTCTTCTGCTGCCTCTCTGCAAAGCCCTAATGGCACTCTGTAAATCACTGCAGTGACTCTGGCCTTACGAAGGGGATCCACCTCCCCTAGGGGTGGGAGGAGCTGGCCTATTTGGGCTGCTATCAAATTTGTCCAGCTGGTTCGATGCTGAGTTTGGCAGGTCTCCGATCTCTCACCCTCTGAACATTGGGCCTGTTGCTCAGCGCTGGATTAAGTGGATGTCAGTAGGCTTGCCAAACTCCAGATGATGGCTGGAGATCTCCTGCTATTACATCTGATCTCCAGGTGATAAATCGATTCAGAAAATGGCCACTTATGGCATTATACCCCACTGAAGTGTCCCCCCCAAACCCCACTTCCTCAGGCTCCACTCCCAAAATCTCCCGCTATTTCCCAACCCAGAGATGGCAACCCTAAAGGGATCTGCACGATCAACCCTTCCTGGCCTGGAATGTTTAGGGCAGTGGCAGAGGTCGATTCGGGGGGGATTGCAGGGGATCGCAGTTCCCCCGGGTGAGGTGCGGGGGCAGGGCACATGACGAAGCCCCACCTCCCGCTTCCGGCCGCCCCGCTTCCGGCCCTCATTCAGCCAGGAGGAGGCAGGAGAAGAGGGAGGGTAAGTTGCTTCCTCCCCGCCTCTCCCCACCCCTGCCTGGGGCCAGGGAGGGCCTTGGCGGGGCTTCCTCGCACTCCCGCCGGCCTTGCAGGTCCACTGCCGGGCCTTATGATGTCAGGGGGTGTGGCATATACTCATGAGTTATGCTAATGAGTCCCCCTAGCTCTTTTTCTATGAAACGACCCCTGGGCAGTGGGGTTCTGCACGATGGGGTTAGGGTTAGAGACCCACAGCACCATAACAGAGCATGCCCTTTGCCTGCAGAACTTGTCCTGGCATCTCCCATTAAGAGAATCAGGTTGTGGTGCTTGCAAAGTAACAATGGACTAGACATTGCTGGACCATTGTTTGGTATATGTTACCTGCAGACTGCTCTCGTAGTGCTCCCTTTTTGTTGAGGGACCCTGGATTTTACCTGAGGGACTCCTTTTTTTGTGGAGGACCCTGGATTTTACCTGATCTTGGTTTGGGGTGGTTTTCCTCTGAATCTGCACACTGGAAGGAGAGGATAAGGCCTCTGAATAGGCATAGAGTTCTCCTCCCTCGCTGCTGAGCTGCCGCAGCCAGAACCCATTCTGATCCCCATTCTGCCATGAAGCTCACTGACAAAGGCCGAGAGAAGAGGGAAATCTGTGGAAACCACGTGAAACAAAACAGGCACAGCTTCTTGTGGGTCTCCTCGGGGAAAGAATTCCAGAGGTGTGGCATGACCACTGAGATGATCTTCCTTTGGGTGCCTCCCATTCTAATCTCACACAGATGTGCAAGTCCCACTGGGAGACAGGGATGGAGAGAGGCTGGGCTCTTGAAAACTAATGGGCCATAAATGACTGCCTGCTTTGGTTCTCCTCCCTTTCATCCCCTCAGTGTCTATATGGGCTGTCCCATTTCCACATTTGTTGTTATCACTGCTGCCCCCCTCTCTCTGTCTTCAAACCCTTCCTCAAAACTGCACAAAACTGAAGCAAAGACTTTGTTTGTGGGAGGATTGCCACCTTCCATATGGTGCCTGGGATAGGGTTGCCAGCTCTGGGTTGTGAAGTAGCTGGAGATTTTGGGGGTGGATCCTGGAGAGGGTGGGGTTTGGGGAGGGACCTTAGCCGGATATGGTGCCAAAGAATCCATCCTCCAAAGCAGCCATTTTCTCCAGGGGAACTGATCTTCGTCGCCTGGGGATTAATTGTAATAGAGATCTCCATGGGCCACCTGGAAGTTGGCAACCCTAGGCCTGGGTGGTTCACCTTGGGCCACTCTCAGCTCCTCAGCCTAATGTACCCCACAAGGATGTTGTGTGAGGCAAATATGGAAGAGGAAAGTGCTGGAAAGGGCAATTGGCTTGCGGGGGCAGCAAGAGGACGATTAGGAGAGTGAGGTCAGCACCTTCTCTCCTGTTAAGTGTCATTCCTTGTCTGTCCCCAGATTGCTGCTCTCAGGGCAATTTCGTCTCCGAAGTGCCACAGTCAGGCTGCGTTCACACACACTAAATAATCCGCACTCAACCCACTTTCAGTGCACTTTCCAACTAGATATTACTACTGGCAAAATCCGGTTGGGAAGTGGATTGAAAGTGAATTGAAAGTGGATTATTTAGTGTGTGCGACTGCAGCCTCAGTTTTACCCTCTCTCTCAGCTAGACATGTAGTTACGAAACTATCTCTGTCTCTCCTCTTTCCTATCAAGTTATGTTAATCCCTAAATAAACCTTAAAAAAGGTAAAGGTTCCCTTGTTCGAAAGCCAGTCGAATCCGACTCTAGGGTTGCAGTGCTCATCTCCGTTTCAAAGCCGAAGAGCCAGCGCTGTCCGAAGACGTTTCCGTGGTCATGTGGCCGGCATGACTAAACACCAAGGCGCATGGAACGCTGTTACCTTCCCACTGAAGTGGTACCTATTTATCTACTTGCAATTTCTTACTTTCGAACTGCTAGGTTGGCAGGAACTGGAACTAGAGATGGGAACTCACTCCGTCATGCGGCACCCGGGTCTCGAACTGCTGAACTACCGACCTTCCATAGCCTGCAGTTCAGCGTCTTAACCACTTGAGCCAACGCAGCTCCTATGTACTCTTTAATCACCTTGTGCACCGTTGCTATGTTAATTCCTCTGCCAACAGGAAGGACCATGACCCCTGGTCCTGATCTCCTTGGAGGAAGGGTGGAATAAAGATGCCCTAGAGAGATGAACACGTAGCTGGGCTTTTGGGTCGATGGGTATATGATTTAGACTGGTACTGTGTGTCAACTCAAAACAGTATCCACTTCCTTTCCTCAAGATTTGTGGGTGTTCTAGGAGGGGGAAGCCTGTGGGGGTTCAACCAACCAGGGCTGCCAGCTGAGGCCGCTGCCCCTAGCCGCCACCACTGCTGCCTCCCCCGTGCTCCCTTCGCTCCAGATGACAGGCAAGGAGCACAAAGGAAGCCTGGACTGTGTAGGAAAAGCTCTGCTTAACTAGAGGGCATCAAATGGCATATCTTTTGTATGTTAGAAATGCAGAACTTCAGCAGCAAAACTCTGACATGCAAAACAGAAAGTTGAACGAACAGGAAGACTCAGGACTTTGAGTTACAGGAGAAATGAGCAGAATCAAACGGAATATTTTTCATTCAAAAATGGGGGTTTGCAAAATTCAGTCGCATCCCTCGATGCTACTGCCTCCTTGCACAAAAGGTACACCAAGAGACCCACAACAGTTTCTCACCAGATGTTTCTGTTTGACACCCTCAGGAAACAGGATGGATAACAAAGCCATGTACATGCACACTTTTGGGGAGAGGGAGAACGGATCCATCTTTGAAGAGCCGTGTGATGGAAAGAACCTTTCAAAGCTGAACCTCTGGGAGGATGGTGAGTGTTCGAGATAACACTGAGATCCCAGCAGACCATCTTCATTCTGGGGTCCAAGGGTCCAAACTGTTAATTATTTATTAAAGGTAGTTTAGCCCACTTTTCTCCTTGAAAGGGCTGAAGGTGGGTTACAATGATATTCTAAAAATATACATCACAGGAAGCCAACTAACAAATAAAAGTTTGCAAAAACAACGGTGAGAACAGATTCAAACAATTAGAGAAAAGCCAGTACACAATCTACTATAGCTATTACCTAAATATTGCACAGAGGTGGTTTACCTCTGAATATCGGGTGTGGGGGATAAACAGAGGAAAGGCACAGTTCTGCTTGAGACTCGGCATAGATATGTTCCTAACCTTTCCCCAAGAGGGTCTGTGATCAACACCAACGTGGCTGCTGGTTGTCATTCTGGTCACACCTTCCGAAAATATACCATATCACCTTTTCTCTTGCCTGCAAACACATCACAGAGGCATGTTGTTGGGTGATAGTGAGATATTGAAAAATTGGTATTTAGCAGAGATAATATAGCCCAGCAGAGCCTGAGTAAAATAATTCAGACTGAGAGTCCATGTGTGATTAAAATATAAAGTTTTTACTAAATTCTAGCATGGGAAAGGTAACTGGGATGAAAATAACAACAGAGCTAAATCGGCTAATCCTTACACTACATGGGGGACTATGGCCCATTCACACACTAATTAAAAAAAAAAAATCCTTACACTACAAAAACAAAACTAGAAGAGGGAGAATATGGCTACTCTTCTTGTTTCTTTAGAACACCAAAACAAAGACCGGAAGAAAAGCCATAAAATGGTAATATATTTTGACACTTTAGTCCCAATCAAATCTCTAGATAAGGGAGAAAATTCCCGGGCAATCCACATCTAAAGAACATTGGTTACATGAGAAACATGTGACTTCCTGTGAGTAACATAAACAAACATTTAACCCCAGACATACCGAGTGTTTTCAACTTGTAATACCCAACACATGTGGATAGTTAATCTCCCATGATCCACCTTGTATTGGGTAAGACCCTGCAGACCTGGTTCCACACATGATGGTCTGGTTTGGATCCAGACTAACATTTTCACGGGTGCAAGGACTTCCTCTTGTGAAGTGTACTTTTCCTACCGTTGCCTTCCCAGAGCAGCCCAAAATACACACTCACACCCCGCTGCTCCTGGAGGTCCTCTCTTTTCCAGGAATAAGATTTTGGGAGACATTTCAGGTTGGGGGGGGACTGCCCTCAAGAGTTCTGTGATGGTGATCTCTTCTTTTTTTAAAAATCAACAAAAATGCCTAATTAGTCATCCCAATTGCTTGCCTTGAGGATTAGGGCAAGTAGACCAGAGGGTGGTTAACCCTTTTCTCTCATGCATCTCCTGCTATTTAAACAGCCCTTCTCACGCCTCCTGCACAGCAACATCAGAGGCAAAGGCCAAACATGTGGAGGAGCCCTGAGTGCCAGAACCATCCTGGCTGATGGAGGCAGCTGCCATCGATGGTCATTTCTGGCCTTGTCCCTTCCAGCCCGACTGAACTCTGCAGATGCCCCTAGTCCCAGTGAATCCAGGCTGTTCCAAGAATAGCTGGTTTGGCACAAAAACACCGCCAACGCCTTCATAGGCAGTGGCAGGGCAGAAAGGCGAGCAGCTCGGGCAGTCCTCTGGGTATCCTATAGCTGCAGGGTTGCCTACAAAGCAAGTCACACGTGCAGGGAGTTTGGCTCCCGAGTGCCAAAACTTCTGTTTTCTGTGGGAGGGCAGGGCAGGACAGGGCTGGGAGTTCTCACCAACACTTCATTAATCTGTCAAGAGGCCTGTGTGGCCCAATGGGTGCAAGAAACAGCCCTTCGTTTCCTCTCAAAATGATGCCACCAACAGGAAGGGCACCTTGGGCTGTAGGCTGTGAAGGTTGGTGGGAGTTTTTGGTTCTGTTTCAAAGGCGGCACGCATTTCCACGCCCCATTAAGCAACTGCGCCAACAATCTGTTTGCATACTGAGCAGTATCTATCAGCAGACAAGTCTCTGAGTTTGAAGACTGCACATGATTAGGGATGGTAACGCTTCCTGCGCCAAACGACTGTCCTCAGACTGGAAGAATGAGTAATAAAATGGCAAGTGAGATTCAAAAGAAGTAACTGCTAAGTGATGCACTTAAGGACATCCCCACCCCAACATCACAGACACACTGACTTGTGAGGCTCTGAAAGATTTATTTATTTACGAGCAGGGCTATTTTTGGGCAGGAAGCACAGGAACAGAGTTCCGGCTGGCTCCCAAATTGGCCACGCCTAGCAGGAACTCATTAGCATAATAGGCCACACCCAACAGCAGGAACTTATTATTACTGGCTACATTAGGGGTGTGTGATCTAACGTGCAAAGGAGTTCCTACTACAAAAAAAAAAAAGCCCTGGGTTTTGACAACAAACAAGGTAAACAGAATAAGAAGCAAAAGGTGGGTGTGGCTGGATGACCACACTTCTGGTAACATGGAGGCTTAATATGCTAATGAGCTGTGCTGTTAGGCTTGTGACCTAATATGCTAATGAGTTTCTGCTGTTGGGTGTGGCGTATTATGCTAATGAGTTCTTGCTGGGCTTTTTCTACAAAAAAGCCCTGTTTACGAGCAAGATTTTTATCCTGCCTCTCTGCCCTCATAGGGCCACTTGAGACTTTGCATAGTCGCTGCCAGTCTGAGTGGACAATACTGACTTTGATGGACGAAGGGTCTGATTCAGTATAAGGCAGTTTTATGTATTAATGTCACTTGAAGGAAAGCTGATGGCAGAACTTACCCTTGGCTGATTTTCTCAAACCATATCTGTTTCTTCTTGGGGTCTACCACTTACAAGGCTTCCTGGGAAAAGCAAGACAGAAAAAACCACTTAAAAAAAGATGAAAACAATATATCGCTCGCAGCGATAACTATATCAAAAAAGGTTAATGAATTAAAACCAAAACATATATACAGCATTAAAACAAGTTAAAACTAGAGTTTAAGTACAAAAGATAAAAACAACACTTAAATATTGGGGAGGAAGGAGGGGATGAGGGGATGCCAAGCGAAGATGCCAACAAAAGGAGACGGGCAAATCTACCTGGGGAGAGAGTACCAGAGAGATGTTGAAAAGTGATCTTGTTCAGAGACTGTGTTCCACTTGCTGGGGGGGGGGGCATCAATTTTCAAAGGCTATTGGTCCAATTTGGAGCTTCTTGGTTCCATGAGAAACTGATGCAATATGGATACTTGCGATGATTCAGCAGGCTCTTCTGTTGTCTTAAATAGGATTCATGGTGGATAGCTCACTGATAACTTTGAACCAGTCTGCTTTGGCCCTGAATATCAGTTTGTCCAGTGATTTAGTTCATGTGAAACTACAATTTAATACAAAAATAACTGTTGTTAATTGGATCACGCCCGGACCTGGATGGCCCAGGCTGGCCCAAACTCATCAGATCTTGGAAGGTAATCAGGATCAGCCCTGGTTTGTACTTGGATGGGAGACCACCAAGGAAATCCAATGTTGCTGTACAGAGGCAGGCAACGGCAAACCTCCTCTGAACTTCTCTTGTCATGAAAACCCTGTGGGGTTCCCATAAGTCTGTGACTTGACGGCACCAGGGCTATTTTTGGGCAGGAACGGAGTTCCGGCTGGCTCCCAAAGTGGCCACACCCAGCAGGAACTCATTAGCATAATAGGCCACACCCAACAGCAGGAACTAATTAGGATATGCTACATTAGGGGTGTGTGGCCTAACATGCAAAGGAGTTCCTGCTACAAAAAAAGCCCTGGGTTTTGACAACAAACAAGGTAAACAGAATAAGAAGCAAAAGGTGGGTGTGGCTGGATGACCACACTTCTGGTAACATGGGGGGGTGGCCTAATATGCTAATAAGCTGTGCTGTCATGGGTGTGGCCTAATATGCTACTGAGTTCCTGCTGTTGGGTGTGGCCTATTATGCTAATGAGTTCCTGCTGGGCTTTTTCTACAAAAAAAGCCCTGGCCACCACCAATGTGATCATCCTTCACTAATTATGGTTAGTCAGAGTACTTCAAATTTGGATCTGAATCCATGGTTTGAATTATTTCTATTAACCCTAGTTAATCTTAATCGTGGTTTTGTGTAATGTATGAATACGGTCAATAAACCAGTCGATCTCTACAGGAAAGTCAGGGGAAAGAGCGAAGGCTATGAAACCAGAATTTGTCAAGACAAACCAGGATCTGAATGCTTGTCTGCAAGGCAAATACTGGTTCCACAGGCTATTCCCGGCTAATATTCGTGACGCTCGAAAACCCAGCAGTTCAGCTCACGTTCTGCTTGCCAGTTGTGTTTTCTGGCAGGCTTCTTGGCTGTTTGTGAGCAGCCTTAGCCTGCTCAGTGCGTTACCTCTGCAGCATATTCAGACAGTACAGTACAATCGACAGCATTTTGTGCATGTGAATTTTTGTGACGTCCAAGGGGAGCTGTATTCTCTCTCCCACAGACATGTTGCTGTATGCTACAGTGCAGCCAACTGCTTAAACAAGGAGTTGTCAGAGCAGTCATAAACCCATCATAAATAACCGGTATGCAGTTTTAAAAATAATTCTTACTGTTTGGTGTCTGTCTGGGTCCATATATAGCGACGTTAATGGCTGCCAATCTGGTTGGATTGGGAACATTTCATGCCTGAACATTGTCTCAGCATCCAATGGGAGTTGTAGTTTTCACACACAAATAGACACAGACCACATGTCTTTTGAAAAAAAAATTTGGGGAGACAGCATTTAAAAAATAAAAATTGATTGCACAGTGGAAACCAATCATACAAGAAAAAACTACATATTAAAAGCAAGTAAAGGCAAAGTCCCTGACCTGGATAGCCGAGACAAGCCCAATCTGATCAGATCTTGGAAGCTAAACATGATCAGCCCTGTCTAGTATTTGGATGGGAGACTTCCAAGGAATACCAGGGTTGTGACACAGAGGCAGGCAGTGG